ATCACCATGTGTTCGACGGTCTCTCGCCCTTCTCCGCATTCGCAGCTAGGTGTCAAGACCTCCGGGACGCCCCTTTTGAAGAGGAAGTCCCGCAGGCCTATAGCCCCAGTTCGGATTTGGACCAGCAGTGAACTTTTCGCCTTGCTCAGGCCCTCTTGCCTCCTTAGAGTCTTGTCTTTGAACAGGGTCTCCTGCTGATGGTCAAAGTCGTCGGCTGGTCTCGTGGCTGCCCGGCCGTCTCGTTCCTTCAGCCACCTCTCCTTCCAGGCCTCCTGCATAACCCTGTCTGTGTCGGCCGTTCTCCCTGTTCTGACTACCATATAGCGCCCCGGACAAAGGGCAAATACCGGTTATTCATCCTCGACGTCTGTGACGGCGCCTGACGTCGGAGTGCATATGGCGGCACCTGCTTTGTTATGTGACCTCTGCATCGCGAGAGCTCTTCTAGCTTCTCATCCTTTTCTCCCCATCGTGTGATTAGCAGAATTGAGTCCCATCGGCAGTGCCCGCGCACCTCGCCTAAATGTACGCTCGTCTCTCACAACGGCCATGAAAGCCACCACTCGATCAAATTCAGGCGTTACTACCAAGAGTACAACGAACATTACGCTCTATATACCTCCGCATTCCTCTCACTGTGATGGGCTGAGCCCATGATGGCCTCGGCAACGCTCGGCCGTGGTATCATGATAACGTCATCCTGAGGCAGGCAGTGTCTGTGTGTTCCGGAGCATATAAGAGCTGCCCTCTCTTTCTGTCATCTAGTTCTCTCTTTTCTTTTCGCTCTCCATTCGGAGCAATCTAGTCAATCATTGCCCCGCCTTGTGCATCATCTCAACGCCAACGCGTGGCCCGTAACAATATCTTCCAGGTGAGCAAACTCGAGTTCCTCTGGGCCTTTCGCGAGGCCTTCTTTGCTTCCATGACGGAGTAAAACACATAGGGTGGCTTTACAGGGGCTTACTTTGTACCGTACGATCCAGAGAGGGCGCATTCCTGGCTGGATATAAAGCTTCTGTTGAACTGAGTGGGTTCCTTGGCACCAAAATTCACGGACTGAGCACTGATGTTCAATGCGAGACTCTCAGTCAACACAGATCCATCACAATGACGCAGTTCCTGACATAAACGTCATATCATAGCACACTGTCTCTATATAAGGGGGGTAATTCCCCTGGGAGGATTAGAGAGGACATTTTGTTCCAACAAGAAAGGGACATTCTGAGGCACCCTAACCCACTAACTTGATCCTTCATTTGTGTGGTCACTCTGGAATCGTGACTACAATTCAAGCTTCGTTTCATACCTCAATCTGTTCAATACCATTTGGTTGATCTAAGCTTACTTGAGCATGTAACTGTTGGCTGCCCAACAGCTTCGTATACCAACACCTCTATATTCACGGCCTGGCACTGCACAATCCTAGGTCTTGCAGATACCATATAAACCCCGAGAAGCCGAGTTGCAGTCAGCGCTCATTAAAACTCGCATTACCAATCATTACAATAGCTCCCCGACTTCGATGTTAGCTGGTGTAGACCAGCTCACCAAGGGTATAAAGGCTGTAATGCACCAGGTTCGCTCCGTAAGGCCAACGAAAGCGCCGGAGAGCCAAGAAAACACGTGTGGAGCTTGGAGGATCACTTATTATGCAAGATCTACTAGACCAGAAGGCTATAGGTGGGGAGGCAGCGCAAGAAACGCAGCAAGATGGGTAGTGTTGCAGGGGGGGTTCGTACATGGGGTCGATGCTGTGGTATGCGCGGCAAGCCTGGCCATAATACGCGTAATTTCCAGGAACCCGCGGAACCATCTGATTCATCTGTTGCCAATATAATTAGTTAGTTCCTAATGTTGATGTGCTGTAATTGAGAATCATTGTTGCGAGGTAGTTAGAGGTGCGCCGCTTGCTCATGTACGTTAAATAATTACAATGAGCAATAAGGACAGAGGAGCGGTTACCAAAGGGGATCGATCAGCAGACGACCAGACGCCGTCGATATACTTGTCACTCGGATGCCTTCTCGACTCCGAGAAAATTATCCGATATGAACATTTCTTGCAGCAACCGCAAGTTTAAAGCCCACCGTGCTGTTGTCTACACCCAGTCGTCCTTTTTGATAAAGCTCTTACAGGCGGACTCGTCGTGTGATACATTAAATAGCTTTCCGGCCGTGGTCGATGAGCTCTGCACGTGGACCCCGGACACCGATGTCGCGTTGTGCAAAGATGTCTGCCGTCTGGCCGGATTGCGCATCAAGGAGGATGAACTGAGGGAGCGGACGGACTGGGTCTTGAAAAAACATGGGGACTTTGTTGTTGGGGTCATGAATGCCATGATTGAATCTGACAGGCGCATTTTGGCCGGACCGTTCTGAGAGAGAGTCTAGGTTGACTGTCGCACGAAAGATGGATGCGGAGTCGTTAGGACTCGGGAGTTGCGCTCGTTTTATGTCCAGATTGTTCTAATATTACTAGTACCAGAGTTATTCTGTCAATGTCCGTCTGGTCATCGAGAGGACCACCCAGAATCCCATGCCCTACTTAGCAACTCGTTCGTGACATACAGACAAACCAGGTCCTAAACCGCACACACCTCCCCTAGGTGCACGACTTGATCTGCGTAAGCAGCGCCAGCCGCCACGGCAGAGCGTTATACTCTACCCCGCCCCCATTGGGATCCATGCCCTGGTACAAGAACCGCAGCGGCTTGGACGTATCAATGGTGAGCGTCTGATCCGTCAACGACCTCACCACCTCGCCATGGCTGATACTCTTCGTCCACGGCTCGACGCCCTCCCCAAACATAACATTATTCGACCGCGCAAACGGGTTCTCATAGGTGTCCGCCAACGCCGTCCAGTCGCCGTCAATCCTATCTGACGTCCACGCGCGGAACCACCGCTGCTCGTCACTCCCAATTGCCTCGATAAGCAGCAGATACTTCTGCTTCCCCTTGCCGCCCTTGATGGCGTACACGCACGAGGCCTCCCACAGGGCGTACTTGTTCTGCAGGTCCTGCAAGGCGATGACGGGCTCGTTCATGCCGGCCGGGAAGTCGGCCAGCTTGGTCTGCGAGCGGTACAGGTGGCCGTTGTCGTCGGACGAGAACAGGTGGCAGAGCTTCGCGTCGCAAATCACCCACATGTCGACCCAGTAGCCCTGGCCGATGTTTTGCTCGATGATCTTGGGCATGCCGGCCGGGTAAAACACCTGCGGTGCGGTCCAGCCCGCAGGGTTGCCGATGTCTGGGTTGGTCGAGTAGGCCGCGTTGCCGTTCTGGTAGACCAGGTACCAGAGCTTCTGGGGGCCAAAGTAAAAGACCTGGGGCGCCGCGCGGTAGCCCGTGCCGATGGGGCTCTGATCGAGGTAGTAGAAGGGGGCCGAGCCGGCCTGGGCGAAGTCGGTGAAGTTGAGGTAGACCAGGTTGTAGCCCTCAGCTTTGGCCGTGCTGGCAAAGACGTGGTAGGTGCCGTTTACTTCGACGACGGTGGGATCCTTGATCCCCGCGAGGTTGCGGCCGTCGTCCTTTGGGCCTATGAGTGGGCCGGTGGACTTCCATTTGAAGCTGCTGGGCAAAGGCGCCGGTTTGCGTGCGGCAAGGAAGGAGGAGCGCGAGTCGAGGCCCGGGACAGCGCTGACAGCACTGGCACAGAAGGCCGCGACCAGAATCGCGATGGACCGCATATTGCAGATTAGTGAGACGCAGCCGAGAAAGGAGCGTGGCAGAAGTCCGACATGGACCTTGAAACCTGAAGGCTGGCCATCTTATACTTTGCTCGACGCCAGATCATCCCGTCCCTGGCCAGCAACGACGTTGCCGACGTTCAGGACCGAGGTAGCGTCCGTAACATAGCCAAGCAAATTCACCTCGAATCTGGCATGTTGCTAGCGATGTCCACTTCCTGAAACGGTAAAATGGTAGACATCTCCGTCATTACCTCCGCTTGCCAAGTGCGCCTCCAGGCCTGTGGGTGATGAGGAGGCTTGAAGGAGACATGTTGCAAGCGGACCTGCCACCCAACCGGGTCCTTGGGTGCTCATGCAAGGGGATAGGTACTGTAACCTCGCAAGCTCTACCGAGATGGACGTTTGGATCTTGAAACCCACGACAGGTTATTGGTGCGCATCCCCGGGTGATTCTGCTCATTCGTCGGCCGATCTGTGTATTCAACCGGCATACACTTAGAGGCGGCAGTGACTAACGTTTGTGGTGGGGAAGAATACATATAACCGGCGGGATTTCACTCCCGGACCTGCGCTAACCAGCCTTGTCAGTTTAAGCGATCGGAGTAAGCGGACGTGGCTCCGCCAACCCTTCATCTCTCACTGAAGCTTGGGCCGTTGTGTGGAGAGCGATACAGATCACAAGCTGTCTCCTCGCCGCCGGTCGCTGTTGGCCGCATGGTTGGCAACTCCGGCCATTGTCTAGTCAGCCGTGAGCTACATCAGCATGCTCATCCAGTAGTTGCAGTTCCGCACATTCTCAGGCACACCGACGGGTGCTATTAGTTCACGGCGATCGTGCCTAAGTATGACCGCATCATCTCGCGCCAGGCCCAAACCATCCAAGCGCTCCAAAACGCCTCCAAGACCACAGTCCGGCGGCGGAGATTTTCGAGCGTCGGTAGCGGGCAGGTCTGGGGCCCGGAGTTGCACTTCATCGACGGAAAATGGTACATTTATGTGGCCCTCGGCGTGGCGAACCAATGGCGCATCCGGACCTTTGTGCTTGAGGCACAGGCAGTAATCCTCTCACCGCGTCGTGGGTGGAAAAGGGCGTCATCAAGAACAACTGGGACACCTTCTCGCTGAACGCGTCGACATTTGTCGCCAATGGCACGCGGCATCTGATCTTGCGCAGCAGGAACCGTCGAGGTCGGATGGAAACTCGAGTATCACGATCGCGCCGCTGTAAACCCCTGGACGATCCGCGGTACGGCCTTCGCCATCTCCCGTCCAACACTCGCGTGGGAACGCATCGGGTACAAAGTCAACGAAGGCCCCTTCGTAATCCAGCGCAATGGCAAAGTCTTTCTGACCTAGTCGGCCAGCGCGACGGACCACAACTATTGCATTGGGCTGTTGACAGTGTCTGCAGGGGCGGACTTGATGAACCCAGCATCGTGGAGTAAGTCGCTGAATCCTGTTTTCGTCAGCAACGCCAATACCAACCGGTGGGGCCCCGGACACAATCCCTTCACTGTGTCCGAGGACGGTGTAAGCGACATCATGGTGTACCACGACCGCGGATACCGGGACATTTACGGGAGACCTTTTGAACGATCCGAACCGGCGGACGACGGTACAGAAGCTGTACTGGAAGGCGGACAGGACGCCCGACTTCGGGGTGCCTGTGCCGGAGGGAAACACGCCGCTCAGGCTGCGGTCGACGGCTGAGAAGGGTGGCCATGTGCAGTACTACGCAGGAAGCGGCAACCCAAGTGGAACTCCGGCGTTGCCTGACACCCAATTCCGCATTGTCAGTCCGTGTTTGGTTGGCGGGAGTACCATCATGTTGGAATCGACGAGTTATCCAAGCATGTTCCTGCGTCGGGCGAACAATGCGGAAGTGCAATTTGAGAGGAGCAGCGCGCTAACCTCGGCTGCAGCAAAGGCGTCGGCGAGCTTTGAGCGCCGTCTGGCGATGCTGAGGTGGTGTCGTTTGAGGCGTCGAATGCGAAAGGACAGCATATTCGTCTGGAAGCCAGCGGGAGGATCACCGTGGCGTCGATTGGCGAAGATGCAAAACAACAGTCCACATTCTTGGAGTAAACCACGTGCGGCAGGGTAATGGAATTCGCAGATGCAGCCGCAGTGCTCTGGCACACGTTGGCCATCTCTTGACCTTCCTTAAGATGGTCCTTGCCGGGCTGTATTGACAACGCACGAGCGGGCCATGGTTTAATCCGGCTTGGGCTCTGCTCAGCGCCGGGTCCCGGAGTACGCAAGCTGGTCGGCGGAGTGCACCCCGTCGCGTTATGACTTATCATGCCCTGGTTCGTGCTGCACAGCTTGGCCAAATTGATTTGAGAGAGGGCTGTGGGAGCGGGCAGCTGTGGGCGGTCTATATCGGTTCCAATCTCGGTGTTCCGAATTGAATTTCGGTGTTCCGCAATTCGGATGTTCAAGAGAAGCTCCCATCAACCGAGACGATCTCTGTCCACAAACGGAGAGACCCCGGTTACCCCGCATTCAACGGGCAGCTAACTCTAAATTGTTAGTGGCTTGGGTGGAGCGGCGATGTGCGGAAATCCTCGGCTCAGAAGGTGGTGCTGATTTGCGGCAGGTACAGAACTTCCGTGAGCATTTCTGTTATTAAACCAGGCGAAATTGAAAATGTGCAGATAGTCGAAAATGAACAGTAGAGAGAAGAACAACGCGGAATTGAATTTCCAGTTGAGCCGGCCCTCATATGTCCAAACCCAAGAGACCTGGAATGTATGTTCCAGGTTGCCTGGGGTGGAAAGCCCCAATCCCACAAGGCGCTGGCCCCACTGAGAACTGAGAGCTGTCTGCGGGGAAATGCGGAGCACCTACCGCACAATCGAACGACTAACCTAAACAATGAAACAAGTCGACGTCCCTCGCATGAGGGTCGTTTGCTCGCCGTCGATGGACTTGGTGAGGTTCGTCTGACCGTAGCGCTGTTATGTAACCGGATGCCTGCAACAGCCGAGACGAGCAGGTCATTTGACTTCTTAGTCGTAAGGGGGACAAGGGGCCCGAGGGCTTAAGCCGAGAGCACTTACACAATCTGACCATGGCTCGGACCAATAAATAGCAAGTACCAGTGTTCTGTCTCTTTATCTGCATCTTGAACCGACCGCAGAGGAAACGACGCCATCTTTTCGGAACACGCAAATGAACTCACTCGAGTCCGTTCTCCTCAAAGAAACGTAAAACAACACCACGTTCACCCGAGAGGCACTGCGCCTTTGCTTCCGCCAAGACGGGACGGATCGAAGGAAGGGAGAATTGGGCGAAGATCGAAGGGAAAAGGCGTCGGAACAACCCAAGGGAAACAACCTCCGACTCTTTGGCCAACGGCATAACCTTTTGCAGAGCACCCACCCCATCGGCCCGGACTTGGCACCAAAGCCCGGCCGTTGGGTGTCCACTTTTCCACGAAAACAGCACCCGCACCGCATCTGCCGCGATGCCACCCTTGCTCCGCGCAACCCCGCCCGGGGCGGCCAGGGCCAGTCAGGCGCTTCAGAAAAACTATCGCCGTGCCGTTGCAGTAGCCGTGACAGGGATCGGCCGTGCGGGCGTCGGACGGTTCATCTCGTCTTCCACGCGCGCTTTCGACGGGGGACATGCGACAAATCAGGGGAACATAACCCCGCTGCCACGCCCCAACAGAACCATCCCCCTGGTACAGACAACTCCCCTGGTTAATGACACCATACCCAGGACGGCAACCGGTTCTTCTCCTACAACGCAACACCGCTGGTCGTCGACCCTCGCCGCCGACAATAAGCCCAAGATGTACACGACGTCGTTCGCCTTCTTCGAGGCGCTTTGGGACGCCGGCGTAACACACGTCTTTGTCAACCTGGGATCCGACCACCCCAGCATCATCGAGGCCATGGTCAAGGGTGCTCGCGAGAAGAAGGGCCAGTTCCCGCGTATTATCACCTGTCCCAATGAAGTACTCCTCCCGGTCTCCCTCACAACCCTTTTTGCCCACGCCCACTGCTGACGTGTGAGAACAGATGGTAGCAATGTCCATGGCCGACGGCTACGCTCGCCTCACCAACAAACCGCAAGCCGTAATCGTGCACGTGGACGTAGGCACGCAGGGGCTCGGCGCGGCGGTGCACAACGCGAGCGCGGGGCGGGCGCCCGTCCTGGTGTTTGCCGGCCTCTCGCCCATCACGCAGGAAGGGGAGCTGCGCGGCAGCCGCACCGAGTTCATCCACTGGATCCAGGACGTGCCGGACCAGAAGCAGATCCTGGCGCAGTACTGCCGCTACGCCGCGGAGCTCAAGACCGGGGTGAATGTTAAGCAGATGGTCAACCGCGCGCTACAGTTTGCGCGGTCTGCGCCGCAAGGGCCTGTGTATCTGTGTGGGTCGAGGGAGGTCATGGAGATGGAGATGGAGGCGTATCAGATTCCCCAGGACCAGTGGGAGCCGGTTGAGTTGGGCGGGTTGCCGAGCGGTGCTGTGAGGAAAATTGCCGAGGCGCTGGCGGGGGCGAAGGAGCCGTTGATGATTACGGGGTATGCGGGGAGGAATCAGGCGGTGCCGGGGGCGTTGGTCGAGTTGGCGAACACGGTTAAGGGGCTGAGAGTGCTGGATACCGGCGGGAGCGATATGTGCTTCCCGGCGGATCATCCGGGTTGGTTGGGGGTGCGGTATGGTGTCGAGGACGTGATTCGCACGGCGGACACCATCATCGTGTTGGACTGCGACGTGCCATGGATCTCGACGCAGTGCAAACCAAAGGAGGATGCCAGGATCTTCCACATCGACGTCGATCCCCTAAAGCAGGTCATGCCGCTGTTTTATATCCAGGCGCAACACCGGTATCGGGCAGATGCCTTGACGGCTGTCGAACAGATCATTTCGCTGCTCAAGTCGGATGAGACGTTCAAGACGCAGCTGACGGGGGCGGAGAGCGAGAAGCGATGGGCGGCTCTCCAAGACTCATACAAGAATCGGTTGGAAACCATCGAGGTGCGGTCCCAGCCGCTCGAGAACGGCGAGTTCGGAACCAGCCATCTCTGCGCGAAGCTGAGACAGATGTGCCCTGAGGATACCATTTGGGCCGTCGAGGCCGTCACCAACACCTTGTTCGTCCACGACGGTATCCAGCCAACACTCCCCGGGCACTGGATCAACTGCGGAGGTGGCGGCCTGGGCTGGTCTGGCGGCGGCGCTCTCGGTATCAAGCTTGCGACGGAGTACGAAGCCCAGCTTAAGGGGGAAAAGGGCAAGTTCGTGGTGCAGATTGTGGGCGACGGGACGTTCCTCTTCTCTGTGCCGGGCAGCGTGTATTGGATCTCGAAGCGGTACAATATTCCCGTGCTGACGATTGTGCTGAATAACAAGGGTAAGCAGTGGCGATAATGGTGTAGTCATAGGGTGGTGCTGACTGTTGCAGGCTGGAATGCGCCCCGCAAGTCGCTGCTTCTGGTCCATCCGGACGGATTGGGTTCGAAAGCGACTAACGAGGAGATCAACATTTCATTCGATCCGGCTCCCGATTACGCCGGCATTGCCAAAGCAGCGGCCGGCGGCGACCTCTTTGCTGCGCGGGTCGACAAGGCAACAGACCTGGAGAAGGTGCTCAAGGAGGCCATCGCGGCAGTCCAAGGGGGACAGACGGCCGTAGTTGACTGCAAAGTCACGTCGGGATGCTGATCTTGTCGCCTTTCCTGTCCTGCCCGGATGCCTTCATGTACTTACTGTATCGGTATGTAGTTGCCCTCTTGTGGGATGAGTGTCGAGCGCCGGAGTTCGATGAGGCGTTGCCCTCAACGACGGGCTGAAGGTTTGCATGTGGGGAGTCAGCTGGGTCATTCGCTCTATCCGAGCCAACGAGGCGAGAAATGTTGCAGAAACATGCATGTGCCATACATTTACACCGCATGGCGACTGCATAGTTGGTGATACCTAACCAAGCGCCGTGACCTTGTCAGCTTCGACTGAGCATTGGCACCCTGTCACGCGGTGAACCTCGATTCGCGGCATGGGAATTCCAGCCTGCAGGGTTGGAGTAGAGCCGCGCACTCAGGGCTGTCGAGGTATAGAATCCAAATACCCTGCATGCACTCGATCATGGGCTGGCCCTTGGATTCTGGACCGTCGCCGGGGCCAAGTCCTGCGCGACTTAGCGGAAGGCAGAATGGCCCAGCATCTGTTCTTGCATCTCCGGTTGGATATTTGCCACGTCCAACAACCGACAAAGGCTGTGGAGTTGCCGCAGGTGAAACAAGTGAATGCTCAACATTTGCGCAGAAGGCACAATCGGGCGCGTTGCTTATTACTGTACGTTGCGGCAGTGGCGACAATGACTTTGATTGGGCCACATTGAGTGTGATTGGGGAAATTCCTCAATGTGCTGCGCCGGTCAAGTGAAAACGCACTGACCATGAGGGGTTCCAAGGCCGCATAACATGCAGATGAGTTCGAAGTTCGAGCTTTCAACCATCCATCCCACCATATCAGGACATGGAGGTCTGATCGAATCAGTCCACGTTTGTCGAGAACCGCGCAACCTGCATCACCATTCTCAGAAACACTCTTCCGAATTCCACCCAAGCTTTAGCGCGGAGCGGCTAGACGGTAGCGGACCCAATCTCCTCCACATCCACCAATTTGCCCCTCTCGACCAGGCACTAACGGGCCCCACCTACCCTTTGATAACTCGCATCATTGAGACACCTGACAATCGGTCGAGAACAGAGACCATGATATTGGACCTGGCAAACTGCGCGAGACACAAGACCGTGGAGCCGCCCTGGCCGACTTGGTGAAGTCCAGGGGCGTGCCCCCTCCGTCAACGACGTCGGATCATCGATTCAGCGACGAGAACGAACCCCCGGAGACCGAGAGCTTTTCGCTAGGACGCGGCCCATTCGGAAGTCAGGAAGGCACGGATAACATCGACATGGCTGAGGGAGAGCCACGGCCCGAGGCTTTGACATTGGAGCCGCATGCCGCCAGTGGCAGCGGCCCAAGCCCGGTCCGGACGCCGCCGCCGCCGCCCATTCCTTCCACCGACCCCAGACTACAAGCCGCGACGGCGCCGGACGTGCAGGTGCCGTCACCAACCCTAGCGGCGCGAGTCGATGACATCTTCAAAGTGTCTCCGCAGGCGGCCCTGAGCCTCTTCAGCACAGGCGTCGAGGCCTTGGTCAACATGACCGGAGATGTCCCGCCCACGCCGCCGCCGAGAAGTCCAACACTACCACATATGAGAGGGATGGAGGCCGAGAAACAGAGTATTGTGCGGTCCAACTCGGAAAAGAGCCTGGCTAGACTGGCTCAACGGGCCAGTGCCGCAACCTCCCCATTACCTGGGCGCTCCCCTCGCCAGAATGTGAACTCGGCTTCGCAGCCGGCTCCCGGTCAACCTGCAGTACCAACAGCAGGAACACAGGCGCAATCCATTGACGGAGTGCACTTGCGAGTGCCAAATCCGGCGCTACAAGCGGCCCCTTCTATTTCGGTGGGCTCGCCGCAACCGCTTTCACCATACATCATCGTGGGTGAGAATTCGCAGCCACTCAACCTGCAGCACAGCGCCATCACCCGCAAGTTTTACTGCCGCGTCCCGCCGCCCATCTCCGTAACCGACTACTTGCTTCGCATACACCGCTACTGCCCCATGTCGACCGCCGTCTACCTGGCCGCCTCGCTCTACATCCACCGGCTGGCTGTTCTGGAGAGAGCCATCGTCGTGACCAGGCGGAATGTCCACCGGCTGCTGCTCGCCGGGTTGAGGGTGGCCATGAAGGCTTTAGAGGACCTCAGTTACCCTCACGCTAGGTTTGCGAGGGTCGGCGGCATAAGCGAAAAGGAACTGGCGAGGCTTGAGATTAGTTTCTGCTTCTTGACTGGCTTCGAGCTTGCTGTGGATGTGCCTAAATTGAGCCAGCACTGGGACCTGCTGCGCAGGGGAGCCGAATGCTGGAATTTTCTAGACCAAGGGACGCATCAGGGGACTTTTGTACAGTTGAGGGAACCAACAAGCGGGAATAGTGGCGTTAGGGCGCAGGCTTGAAGGCTTTGTGATACCATATCTGTTTGAGCATCAATCAGGTGGTCATCATCGGTGTGCTTGGCTTTTACTGCATCGTACGGATGTGATGCAGACGTCATGCTGTGTGACTGACCTGAACTACCATGGTGGGTCACAGTTTTGTCCGATTTCAGGGTGAACCGAACCAACACAACACCCTACTGATCGCAGTTCGCTTCCCCTCAAAAGGCTACTTCGCTGACTTTTGAGCTCATCAGTTAAATGATAGTTGGAGTAGACCGCAGCCTACCGTCAACCAGAACTCGCCCAGAAGTGGCTTCATGCTGCAGCAACGCCGATCACCAAACAGCAGCCAATCCGCGGTCAATAAGAAGAGAAGTCATGATTCACGACTACGTTTTGTCCCTTTCTCCCGCACCACTGCACAGTCAGATTCCTACATCAGACGGGACGTCATCGATTCATTACCACTCGAGTCTGATCCCATATATGCCGGCTCATTTGTCCTACTTGAGCCTGTCCTTCAACAAGCAACCACTGGATTTGTGAACACTCGGAAACAACGGTAATCGTTTCTTCACAGATCTATCTTCTACACACAACTTTCTTATCAACCACCATCACAATTGCCATGGACGAAGGCGATATCCCCCAAGAGGTCCCCGCTTCCGCTGACTACGAAGGCGAGCAAGAGAACGTGCTGCGCGGCCACAAAGCCACCATCTCCAATCCAAGTACGCTTTCTCTCCCTTGCCTTACGGCCGAGCTTGCACATTTTCTTCGTAGTTTGCTGACACTGGTTGATCCTGTCATTCAAGACACCTCTCAGCAAGCCAAGGAGAAGGCACGCAAGGTGCTCGAGTCGTACGACGAGCCATATGACGAGTCCACAGCCAGTCACGGAACGACTGAGAAGCAGGAGAAGGACCCGGGCAATGTTGCGCGTGGGCTGAAGGCGAGCATTAGCAACCCCGGCGTGTCTGAGGAAGCCAAGGAGGCCGCCAGGGAGAAGTTAAAGAAGTTGGGTGGTTAGTGAAATGCCTGCATGTTGTTAACTTCCATCATGACGAGATGATAAAAGGCTCGACGCAATCAACAATGGGTCTTCAGTCAATTGTCTTTGTTGAACGTAGCACGCGATATTCGCATCTGAGCACCAGGGCACCGAGTGAGAAGTTCTCATCTATTGTCATGGAGTGACCGTAGAATCTGAGTGTCATCAGGCACGCTAAAACCACTCTCAACAAAAGAGAGATTCAACATAATGAGTGTCAGCGTGGTGAAATATAACATTGTACTGCATATTTACTCCTGCCGTTTCAACCCAGTTCTCAAACATCGCAGATGCTTCCAGAGTTTCAGTTCTCGAAGACCGGCTGCTAGATCTCGCTGCCAAGCGCTGATCCTGACAGACGGTTCCGAGTCTCATTTTCCTACATTCCCATTCTGACAGCAATGAGTTGGCCATCGGCGCCACGCTGTCACCGAAGACTGGTTAACAAGTCTATAACGTCACTTTTCTGCAGTCATGATCCAGAACCCACTTCCCGTCCGCCTCAACGACCAGGAACTGATTGATCTACGTCATAGACAATCAGAGATCCTATATTGATAATTCTTGGGCAGCTCTTTATAGCTAGAAATGCCCTTCTAACACACCAAGCATTCAACTTGAGACGGACAACACATACTCAAATCACAAGCTCATATCGCTGAACCCTGATCCACCGCACAAAAGCACATCCACGACAACTAGCCCACCCCAAAATCATCATGTCCGGTCAAGCAGCCCCGTACCAAGTGGACGAGCCCGGCGCCGACCTCCCGCGCGGCGCGCCCCCCGGTCAGGTCAGCGACCCGTCGTACAAAACGTCCCAGGGCGAAGCGGTGCCCGTGGTGGATGATGACGCGCCCCTCGACGACCCCATGAAGCCGGGCAAGGCCGACTCGGACCAGCAGCTGGGTGAGTCTACAAGTGGACCCTTACTGGCGGTTTTGTTTCCTGTCTGAAGTGTGCTGATGAGGTTGTGGAACAGAACAGGACGAGCGCGAGGCGATTGACAAGGGAAATATCATGAAGGAGAGGACTCGCCATGCTACGAAGCCGGCTGGTACCTATGCGGAGCCGACTGACGAAGAGATGGGGCTGAAGGAGTAAATGTGGGGTGGGAGACTCGTTGAGAATTTAAGGGGGTGGGTGGTGGTGCTGTTCAAGGCGTTGGGCATCTGGGCCGTTTTGTAGTTGATTGTGTATTAAGCGGAGACACAACCCGTGTGGCGTCTTACCATGCTCTTCCCGGTGCTCGACCACAGTATTTGACCTAGATTGATGCTTCGATTATGGGCAATGCTCGATGGTTCTTGGCCCCTTGGGTCATACTTGGCTCCTTTTAAAGGTGACACAACGTGAGATGTGAGATGAACCATGTTAAAATGATAGTTACCACTCGACTGCGCTTGTGAGTCTGAAATACTCACAGGCAAAAAACTGGATCGCGACTTGAGGCAGTGGCTTAAGATGATTTGTTCATAGACTTGGATTGCGGCATGGCTCTTTTGGATATCTGGCAGGACCTGCTCATGAATATTGGTTTCTCGCATCCGGCGATGAACAATGGGCGCCCTCTGGAAGAGATCTACAAATGGAGAGCCGACTCAACTGCTCGAAATGATCCGTTCTATTTCGTCGGGATCCTTGAGAGCTGGGGTTAGGTTCTCGGCGCCAACCTTGGTGATGACCACATTGTCCTCGATCCTGCATCCAGTTAGCGGCACTCAAGAGTTCCTGGGAAAATAGACATACCGAACACCTCCAACGTCCCAATACTTCTCCAGCACCTCCGCGTCAATGTGCTTCGCATGCTTCGGGTCTTTGAGGAATGGCTCAATGATGAAGCTGCAGAAGTAGATCCCAGGCTCCACCGTCACGACACTCCCTGCAGGCACCCTCCCCCTGACGCGCAGGTACCGGAACATGGTGTCCTTGTCGGCATAGTTGGGATTGCCGCCGGTATCGTGCGTATCCATGCCGAGGTAATGCCCCAACCCGTGCGGGAAGAAGGCGACGCTCGTCCGGTTCGCCAAGATCTCGTCCTTGTCGCCCCTGAGAACCCCCAACTCCAACAGGCCGTCGATAGCAACCTTGTGCGCCAGCAGATGCATGTCGTCCCACAGGACATCTTCCTTGAGCGCGGCGATGCACTCGAGCTGCATCTTGAGGACAATGTCGTAGATGGCCCTGCTCTCCTTGGTGAACTTGCCATTGATGGGGAATGTCCGGGTGATATCCGAGGCGTAGCAATTCCATTCGGCGCCGGCATCCAGCAGCAGGTTCAGCTTGCCCGCAAGCGGCGCATTGTTGTGCACATAGTGCAGCGTGGCGGCCGCCCTCCCGCCAGCAAAGATACCGTGGTATGCCTGGTTCCGCGCGCCGGCAGAGATGCACGACGAGAGAAACACGGCCTCGAGCTCGCGCTCGTTCTTGGCGTGCTTGACCTTCTCCATAACGGCAAGGTGGGCCTTGCTGCTGATGACGTTGGCCTTTGCGATCATGGCGAGCTCGTACTCGTCCTTGACGACGCGGCAGACCTCGATGGCCTCCTTGAGGATGGAAAAGTTCTTGTCGTCGAAGCTGAGGAAGGTGACGTGCTCCGACACCTGGTGGGGAATGGCGAAGACGGTCGACCTCCTTCGCTGCCCACCGATGTGTGCTAGTTCGGCATTGACGTCGGTTGTGTACTTGACTTCGTCGACGTCGTACTTTTGCAAGGCTTCCTCGGCGGACACAGGCAGGCCGGACCAGATAACGCTCTCGGGGTTAACAGGCGGGATGAAGAGGGTCGTCTTGGACGAGTCCATGTCGTGGATCACATACGAGTCGGCGAGCGGGCAGCCGGTGAGGTAGTAAAAGAAGCGGCGCTGGCTGGTAAACTCGGTCAGCTTTGGCAAAGTGAGAGAGGCTGCCGGGTCGACATACCGGAAGGGCTCTGGCTCGTCATTGTCCTCTAGCAACTTGGTCATGCGGCTCTCGAGGTAGAGCACGCCGGTCGCATCGGGGATTTTGGAGCGGATGTAGTCGACGACGCGCTTGGCGTGCCGTTTGGCAGGGTACTTGCCCTGCAAAATCGTGTCGTAGTCCATGGTCCGCGGGCTGCTTAGGGCTCGTCGCTGGAATGAGGTGGAAGTTCGGGCCACCCGAAAGATTCTCGAGACAATGCTAAAGGTTTGCATTACACAGGAGAGGAAGCGCGGAGCCTATCGTCAGACGGGAGCTCAACTCACAGGGGGGGCATGCGGGAGCTACGGATCGCACAAAGCCCCGCCAAGCGTCTTGGCTCGGCTTCCACCGGCGTTTTGTAGTGAGCCGTATCCGGACTCCCAGGATTTCTATCATGCCCAATTCGCATCTGTACACATACCATACTTTAGGTACCTAAGGTGATGCGAGTAGCTGTCAAGGTAATATGTAACCACATTGTGAGATGGCAGCTTAGGATAGCTTAGAGTTTCCTACATAAGGTGGCACACAGTAAACCCTGGGAGGCCAACGTGTTCACGTGGCAGCTCCACTACCTGGACCTATACCCCGCCAACCGAGCCAGCAGTGGGTTCCATCTCCTCTTGGAATTATTGAAATCCTGTTCGACTTCAAGCGCCCCATGATGTGGATACCTCCTCCACCTCACTACGGACGTACAGGACAAATATGCCAACTTCAGCTTCCAAACGTGGCAGCAGGCTCGAAAGCGAGAGGGAGCATACTCACTCTCAGCATCCAATCTGAGCGGCGGATCCTGTGCGACAAGACGCTGTTCAAGTGCCGTTTGCACACTGCTTGTCTGTACTTGTACAAACACAATACAAGAATAGCATCTACACGTACGTGTTTTGGGGCGGAGACATCCATCCACACACATGACAGGCCATCCACTTCTGCTCACAATTCCCGTCGAACTCCAGTTAGCCATCTGCGCTCAACTGTTGGATACTGGGTCGAATTCATGGAGAATACGACATCGCCAGCAGTCTAGGAGAAGCTGATCATAAAACCTGGGAAAGCACCGTTGTCCACTATCCGGCGCTCGGAACCTCGCTCTCACCTGCAAGCACCTTAGAAGATCGTTGCCCCGCTCCTCTACCAGTCGATCCTGGTTTCAATCAATGGGCCAGGACCCTTTACTCGACTCATCAGGCACTTCTCACGTGTCCCGGGTGGTGCAAAGCTTGTCAGCAACCTCGCTATTCCGTGGCGACACTGGCCGGCTTAGTCTTCCGTCGGACTAAGCGGCATTCCTTTCCCTAGAGGCAAGCCGCTTGGGTATTCAGATGCCAGACTCTTGCACCATAAGCCTCTCCACAGCATCGTTCCTCATCGACGTGCTGTCTGTGTCAGGATCCGAATATCTGAAGGCTCAACATTCGCGAGCCGACAATCGAGGAACCTGAGGACTCTCCAGTAATTCCCCTGGGCCTGGAATATGCCAGGCGGCTGCCCGAAAATTTCGTGCTCGGCTCCTTGCAACGCCTCGACACGATATCACTAGTTCGCGCCGCAATGTCGGGGACACATATGACGTCGTTGGCTGCCCTCCTGCACCGTGCACCTGCACTCACCTCGCTTTGTCGTAGATGTTGCAACCGGCATGTCTACAGCCTTAGCCAGTGTTTCTTGCCGCAGCTTAGGAACCTTCGCATCCTCAACGTCTCACCCGAGGCTCTAGAAAGCGGGCACGGTGTTTCCGGACTCGAAAAGTTAACTTCAATCGAGGACACCTTCGACCTAGACCCCAGGGCCTGCCTGTATCCCTGAAAGAAGAGCTAGTCGAGTAATGCCCTGTTGCGCGCGCTTTGGAAAGTTTGCTGCCGTTGAGCTCCACGCTTTGTCACCTCAAGATCCGCTGGCTATCCTTCGTACCTATCCACCTTCGAGCCTTGGACCTCCTGTCTCGCTTCGATACCTTGCAGTCCCCTGACTGATCTTTCGTGGTAACTGGCCTTGGCCACTTGGAGACTCCGACATTTTTATCACCAAACTGCCACATGGCATGCAATCGCTTCGCATAGTCGCCCAGAGTATCATTTTCGACATTGCCCGACTGAGTTCGGAGCGAGTTTAACGGGGCCAGCTGCCGAAATTCAAGTCCTTCGGATACACGTACATCTGGCAGATTCTGGGGACCCCGTAGCAAAGAATCTGAAATGGAGGAGCAGGAGGCTGCGTTGTTCAGGGGAACAGGTGTTGACTGTGTGTCAAAGCGGTGGAACCGGTACGCTGAGCAATGAGAAGTGGCAGGTCGAGGGGATGATGCCTGGGGACTACACCGTATAATATATCTGGGAGCTTGGGAGAAGCGATGTGGACTGGTACCTCACCAATGGCGGAAGGTAGCATGCTAATTTTAAAGTCTTTCGGAGCAGTGACTTTAGCCGGCCAAGTGCTCTACAACATCAAGGTCCAAGTGCCGTCGGATAAAGTGATGAGCACCAACACACACACGGAGTATTTAGGCAGTCGGGAACGTTAATCACGGCGGCCTCGAATCCAAGTAGAAGCCCATATTGGCATGCAATGTCACAGACAGTCGCCCTGCCCTGTCCAGGCCACGTTGGCCTCATTCAAGCTATGCGCATCATACATGTAAACACGAGCAGCTTCTCGCTATCACGCCTAACCAAAGTCCCAATGACAAGCCAGATCCTCATACACGCAATAAGCCCTAACATCGTCCGTGATTGACCGCTTCTCTCTTTTGGATAGCCGCAACTGACTCCATCAAGGCCTCGCTTCTTTTTGGCTTCTGACATGACGCGGAAAGAGCTCTCCTTGGCGCGCGTGCTCGTCTTTGGGCTCCTCGCTCCCTTGGTGGCCGCAATCACTAGTACTGAGGGCAAAAACAAGGAGAAAATTGATGCACCGTCAGCAGGTTCGGGAGAAGGTCTAGCATACGAGCCTATTCAGAAAGTCGAGGTCTACGCAGACAATGCAACAGCACCAGCTTCTCGAATTCCTCCCGTCGAGGGATGGTGGGATTCCAACATCTGCTCGGGTGACTTCTGCGTCTACACCAACTGGCGGATTGCCAAAGGGCGAGGACTCGTGGCTGTTACGAGGGCGGAGGAATTCCAAAAGCTCGAACGCATCGAAGACCACCTCAACCGAGGAGAGAACAAATATCTCCAGGACCCCGTTCCCTTCACGACGACCGAAATCCTCAACAAGGGACCCGGCATAACCGCCACACAAACCATCCGCCGCGGCAAACCCCTTATGGTCTGGTCGCCTGTGCTCATGGTCCATAGATCTCTCTTCGACCAGGTGCCCAAGAAAAAGGAACGCACCCGCCTCCTCGAAGCAGCCATTTCCTACCTTCCCGAGGCCACCCAAGCTACCTTCAACAAGCAGCGTCTCCGTCCCGGTGAACCCGACATCACCTCCAACCCGCGCTCCGTCGAAGAGATCCTCCTCGCCCATCCGTTCGAAATCGACCTCGGCTATGCCGCGCGCAAGCTAGACGAGCTCAACCACTCCAAGCACTACGTCAACTACCCGGAGATCTCCGTCCTGCAGCACGACTGCCGCGCTAATGTGGCCACCTACATCGACAACTCCTTTGCCCTGCGCACCACCGTTGCCCGCCGCGTGCAGGCTGGCGAGGAGCTGACGGTTACGTATGTCGATCCCTTCCTGAGCAGGGCCGAGAGGTCGGCGTGGGTGAAGCGGCATCGAGTTCCTGCGCAAGGGACTGGGACGACCGAGGGCGGGGTTTGCCCGTGCAAGGCGTGCAGTCTGCCGGGCGGGGAGAAGGGCGAGGAGGCGGTCAAGGGGGAGAAGAGGCTGAAGGAGATACTGGCGATCCGGGCGGAACTGAGGAACCATGATAGTACCAAGGTGGACTTTGCCATGATTGAGCGGTTCCTGATGTTGTACGAGGAAGAGAGGTTGCACGTCAAGCTTCTGGAGGCGTATGAGCTCGCGGCGCTCAACTTCAACTATCTCGGGGATGACAAGAGGGCGAAGAAGTACGCGGATTTGGCGGTGCAGGCGGGCATTGTCGAGGGCGGCGTCGAGTCGAATGATGTGGTGGCCATGCGGGTTATGGCGAAGGATATCAAGGGGCATTATTCGTACCGATATACACTCAAGAGACGGGGCCTGTAACAGACACTAAGATAATGGGAGGGAGGGGTTAACGACAGGCGGTGAATTTCGGTAGCCAAATTGAACTACTTTGCCCTATCCAACTCAAACGCCAGACGCCTCGTTCTGCATCCTGCTCTGAACCTGTTGGGTATCATCCGTGCATCCAAGCCAAGGCAACTCAAACACCATCCAAAAGCCTATAATCAACCCGCTAAGAATACCTCCACTTCCAAGAATCTAAATCCCTCTGTATCCTCTCGATCCCTTCCCTTTCCGGCTCTGGCAAATCCTCGTCCGCAACCAGGCCAGCTTCCCTCGACCGATCAGCCGCCCACCACCTCTCAGCCTCCAGCTCCCGCTCCCTCCTCCTAAGCCTCTCCAAATCATCACTCAACCTCTTTCTCTCCCTGTCCATTTCCCTCTCCCCGCTTCCCCCGAACCGGCCCCTCAGCCCCTCCCAATCCATCCCAAAACCATCCACATCGAGCGACGCCGCCCTCCTCTCCCTCCTGCTCGTGTGCGACGCACACCGCTCGCGATCGAGCCCCACGCCCAGCGTGCTCGACGGGACAGCACTCAGCCGCGGGTTGGCACACCCGGCCACGACACAGACGTGCCGCTCGCAGTGGCTGCCCGCGAAGCGCGCCTCGGCGCGGCACCCGGGCGTCAGGCATGTGTGGCTAAGGCAGAAGTCACTTGTGATTCCGCCGGAGGACGACGACGACGACGCAGCGCGCGGGTTGACGCAGGATGCGGTTTTGCACGTGTGCAGCGCGCAGTGCACCGAGCGGGCGCGGTTGGGGTAGAGGACCGGGTTGGTGCAGTAGGGGGTTGTGCAGAGGTGTCTGAGGCAGGCGCCGCCTCCGTTTGGGACGGACAGCGAGCGGCGGGCGGCGGAGCAGTCGGGCACGGCGCACTTGTGGGAGGGGCAGTAGCGCGCGCTGCTGCTCGCCCAGCGGGTGCAGTCGGCGACCAGGCAGCGGTGCGTATCGTAGTGGACGGCGCAGACCAGGTCGAGGCGGCCCGAGCGGTGAAGGTGGGCCGGGCGGGTGCAGCCGGGAACGGTGCAGGACATGAAGTGGGATGCGCAGCGCCGTTGTTGCTTGTCGGACGCGCGGAGCCGGCAGTCGGGGGCGGAGCAGCGGTCTGGATAGAAGGGTCAGTGAGTTGGGTCTGAGGAGCGGTCGGTGGAACGGAGGACATACGCCTGATGCAGAACCACCGGATGTAGTCGCGTGTCCCAACGAACTCGCCCATTGCCTCGCAGCCGGGCTCGCCGCATTTCAAGTCTGTTTGTTGTTAGCATCGAGCTCCCTGTGAAGAAGTTTCGAGGAAGACTCACGGTCGGGGCAGTACCTCTCACCCCGGGCTCTCGGCGTGGCGCAGTGGTAGCCATCCTCTTCGGGGTACCTCTTGGCGCAAGTGTCTGACGGACGGTTAGCTGAAGGGAACGGTGTCATGGGGCTTGACTAACGTACGGTCCGAGCAGTATTTTGAGTAGATCCTCTGGCCGACTTCGTTCTTGCTGTAGGCGTGCTTCTTGTGGCAGCCAACGACCTGGCATCTGCGCCCGTCGTCGGTCGGGACGTCCGAGTAGTCGGACCACAACATCTTCAAGTGGTGGAGTGGAAGCTGTAGGTCGACTATCGGGAAACGATCTCTCTGTCTGGAGGTGCGAGAGACCCTGACAAGCTGGATCAAATGAAGTCTCGGTTTTGTAGGCTGGGCTGTCGGATTGGGTGACTGGAGGTCGGCGCGGAGCACAGGGCTCAATGATGTGCAGATGATATTAATCTTACTGGACCACCCGGAGCTTGTCGAGATTGCTGGAATGAACCCGGCTTATAAAGATCGTGAACCGACCTGCGGCAGCCCACCATCCCCAGGAGGGAGCATGCGGGCCGCTGCTGCAAGATGGTGGCTGCAGTGCCTTGCAGGTGCAAGGGTCAGCAAGCGAACTGGGGTTACAGCCGCCCTGCAAGGGATGACCTGCAGCTTGAGGGCCCCAGTGAGGTGGCGGAGCAGCGAGGCGCCTATTCACCTCCCAAATCACGTCCATCCAGTTGCAGAGCTGAGCCACCTTAAGATCGAAGGAACCGTTGAAATCCCCTCAGGAGGGCTCCGATTTCCAGATTGCCGGGAGCTTGGATTGAGCGGGCTGCAGTAGCCTTGCAGATTAGAGCCATCGGGTCGCACAGACCATGATGCAAGTGCCCCTCCTCGTTGACGAGCGTGGTCGAGACATGCAACAATCCTGAAAGGTTTGACATCAGTAACCAACAAGACGTTGAGAGACCGCGACGCGCGTTTCACAGTCGAGAAAAGGCAAAATCCTCAGCGTTGAACAGGACGGGGCAGATGACCAGAGGAAGCACCAACTTACGCGTCACCAGACAAGGCAGCGAGGCAGAAAGGGTGTGCTGTCATCAGCAAACTTGGCATTTTCTGCTGTCACTGCATCCCACTGTCACCAAGCTGAACACGCCGGATTGGGTTTGAGCTGGCCGAGTTTGAGCAGCGGCCGTCAACAAGCGGCCGTCCGCCTCTTTTGGCGATGCGCGTCGGCGGCACAGCGACGTGCGATGGGATAATCCGGTAAGGGTTGAGGTCTCGCACATTTTTCAGTCGCTGCGACGAAAATAGATCGTAACCGAGAGGGAGCCCAAACTACGGACCCTAACCCTCGTGCTTCATGCTTCCTCTAACTCAAAGACTTTCTGTGAGCCCTTTGATTTCTACAAACAAGGCGAAAGTCTGTAATACTACTAGTATTGAACCTATCGACTTGAGTTCAAACCATACGCTAAATCCAGACGCGAGCAGGTCAATGCGGCTTGACAACAGCGTGACTTGGAGACAGTCTTATTGACATAAAACAGTGTCCCTCAAGCTCTCTCCCGGGCCTCGTGCCGAATTCCACGACATTCGGGTAAAGGCACCTGAAATATCATTCACAAGAGTCGTAGTGGCCATTACAGGGCGAGATCACAATACATACGGTACTCGTGAAAGGGCGGTCGTTGGATGCTGAGCAGCCTCTGCTCCGGTTCGCTGAATCAGATCAACCTGGAAGTGCGACTCGAGCCTCCGCTGCTGTAATCTACTTGAAGTTTCATGCTCGTCGTTACCTATACCTAGCATATCAATTGCATTTCGCTCTTTAAAGCTGATACCTAAACGATTTGTTCTCCTTGTCCGTCAGATCCTCCAGGCCATGGGCATCATCTGGCGGGCCAAACCGCTCCTCGCGCTTCTTGTTCTCCCGAACCAAGAAAAACCGAAGAATTTCGGCGCAGAAGAAGCACACAACAAAGCAAATCATGACGCCGGTGAAACTCTTGTCGTAGCGGGGGGCATATGAACTGTTAACAGTCCAGGTTAGCAGGCTGCTCGCCGCCGTAAACAGCTCCCTAAAAGACGTACGCATCAAACATGAGCGGCCCAATGATGTTGCCAATCGAGTAAGCGATGAAGGTAGCGGCCGCATAAACAGCCTTCTTGGTATGGCCGGCCACGTTGGAGGTGCCTAGGCCGATGCACTGCACCCAAGCGGCCGAGAAGAAGTTGATCAAGTAGTACCCCACGATGCGGCCGGCGGTGTTGGACGACGGAAGTTGCCACCTACGAGACAACAATCAGTATGCCTCACAGGTGATGATCAGGATACAGCAACGGCCGGCGACTTACAGCAAGGCACATCCCAGAATAACGGGGACACATGCGCCCGAGATAATGTGAAACCGCGAGTTGGGAACAAACCTGCCCAGATACCCGGAACCCAGAATGCAGATGAAAGCCAAGGCACCGATGGGCAGGTTGAGCAGCAGGGACTCAAACACGCTGAAGCCCATGCCGTTGAAGACGATCGGTGCAAAGACAGTGACGGCACCGGAACCAGTGCACGACACGATCGACAGGACGCAGATGCCCCACATCTGGTAGTCCTTGAGCGCCTCGGCGACCTGGTACCACTTGAACGTCTTGTTCTCGGCCCCGGAATTGTTCCCGCGGACGCGCTCCATCAGCAGGACACGCTCCTCCTCGGTGAAGCCCTTTGCGTTTTGCGGCGTGTCCGGAAACAACCACCAAAGGGCGACGCCCCAGAAGGCGGTGACGCCCCCGGCGATGAAGTACATGTACTGCCACGGCTGCATGCCGCCGCCGCGGATGTGGCCCATGCCGTAGTTGATGAGCGGCGAGACCAGCAGCGAGCCGCCCGAGAACGAGTACCACCAGCTCGAGCGCGAGATCTGTTCGGCGTGCGCATACCAGAGGCCGACGACCAGCATGAAGATTGGCGAGACGCCGGCCTCGATCAGGCCCAACAGGAAGCGGTTGGCGAGGAAGTCGCGGTAGTTGCGGCAGGCCGGGGTGGTCAGGATGATGACGGACCATAGGAGGCAGATGACGGCGATGACGACGCGTGTCGAGTACTTCTGGGCGAGCAGAGATACTGGGTAGGTGCCGGCGATGTAGCCAAAGTAAAAAATCAGAGACGCCCATGAGTACTTGAGGCCGTCCTCCATGCCCAGGTCCTTTCGGAGTCCGAAAATGGCGGCTTGACTGAGGAGGGCCTTGTCGTAGAATTGGAGGGCGTAGGTGAAACAGAGCTGCACCGGATTCTCACTGTCAACACAATCTCTCGCCCAAGTATTTCCTTGTCCAAGGACAGAGGACAGGTGATGCTTACCACTGGCATAACACGCCAATCAACGAGCCTGAGGAGTTTCTTGTTGGTCTCGTCATCCAAGACAAGACCGGCTACGCCATTCTCAAGCTCGGCCAAGCTGGCCTTCTCGGTGATTGGGGCCGGCTGCTTCTCTCCGTCCACGGCCATTGTGATCTGGTTCCTGGCCGCGGTAGACAGACGGATTTTTTTGGGAGGATGTTCGGGAGATAAAAGGAGGCACAGTCCCGGAACGGGCGCAGCCTGTGGGGTTTAAATCTCTGCTGAGTTTCTCCTTGTCGGTGACTGTTTCCTCATCAGGCCCCTAGAACAGAGGGCCGCGATGATGGCCAGTTCATCCACTCATATCTCGAGGCCAGTGCCGGTGCGGATCCGGGGGCATGGGAGCCGCTTCCCGCCCTGTCAACGTGAACTCCTGCGCAATAGATCTGCAGGCCTCATCCCAGTTCCAAGGTGGAGCGGTTGAGGTGGCGCGGACAGGGACCGGCAGTACGCGGGGGATACTGCCTTTCGTTCGAGCCGCGGAAGCTACCTAAGGTAGTATGAAGTCATACTGTGTAGAGGTTTCCAGAGACCTGTATATGAGGCAAAGAGCAACTTGAGCATACAATCGGCTGAGGTAGCATGTTGCTACTTGCATCGATTTCCCGTTTGTCCCTGGACTTTCGACATGGCCAACTCGATATGCCCGTGGCTAGTAGGGGTAGACTGGCATGGGAACATGTGACCGAGGCTGCCGGGCAGAGCATGATATTTGTAGCGTTACTACACAAGACATTGTCAAATGCCATCTTGGGTCTGCTCGGCTCCTTTGAATGGTGTGCGGTAAGATAATGAAGGCTCGACTTCAAAAATTTCAGGAACATTCACACTGGAGATGCGGGGTCGTGCCGGATTTAGTGCTGACCACTCCACTTGCACCCCGCTTTCTCCACTGCCCCGCACTTTTCTTGCGAGCTTGATCAACTTTCGTGGGTCTTGCGGGGAACGACTGGGGGGGCTTCTGACGGCAGGACCCGGTACTTTCCCGCCCTTCCGCCAACATTCCGATCCCGCACCGACACACACACCGCAAACGACGGACAACGGGAGATTAGACAGGACGCGCTTGATACAGCTCCTGGCGTCCATTACCCTACCGTCCCTCCAAACCCAGCGGGAAACTCAAATCAAGCTACATGCCTGACGGAGTACACCGGCGAAGACCCTGCAAGCGATGTGTTGCCGATAGCAGCCCAGCCGCGGGCTACGAGTCTGCCGACATTCGAAACGCCCGCGGCGGACAGTAACGACTTCGCTTAGTGCGTGTCCTGGACCTCGAACATTCCCATGGCCTCATGCACCCTGTGACCAAATGGAATTCCGACGACCCGCGACTCCGACCGAAACATCACACTCTCCTATCACAGCACGTTTCGGCCACGCGCTGTCAGTCATTATACGGAAATGGTCAGACCAGCGTCAAAACCAAGCCCAACCTTCCTCGCTTCCCTCTGCGCTCCGCCCGGAAGACATTACCCCCCCCGTTGGACATCAGCCTGATGCCGCTGCGCAAGAACTGGCCGAGTAATGTGTGTGGCCAAACACCCACGTCTTGACACCCTTCCCTCCGTGTTGATTCACCAGCTCCGTTGCGAAGGCGGTCACCCATGGGTTGCTGTCATGTTCTTGACGGAAGGTGCTCTCGATGCAGGGAGCGTGGTGTGTGGCGATAAGAAGGCGTCTTTTTATCAGGCTGCTTGTAACCTGCTTGACCTGCTCCCGCAGCAGTGCGACTTCATCATCGTGAACTGCGCCGTGGCGTTGGGCCGTCCACTGGCTGATCTCCTTGAAGTCGTTGACTTTGGCCTCGACGATTCCGCGTGCTGCTTCTGGGATGGCGGACAACAACGTGCAGTCGAGCATGATCAGGTCGGAGGCTGGATCATCCCACCTGGTGCGGTGTAATAGCACCAGCCCGCTGGCTAATGATGATTCTTCTGCCAAGCGTTAAGCGGCCTCAAGCCCGAACCCGTGACTGAGACCGGAGAACTCGTGGTTCCCAAGCACAAGAATACCTTGTAGCGTAAGACTTGCAAATCTGCGAATCGCACTACAGAACCCGAACCCTGGCTGGACCAACCCCTTATTTTCCACCCACGTCCCGCTAATGTTACCTTACCTTCACTGATGCCAAAAAGTTCCCTGGCACACTCACCCCCGACGACATGCGAATATTTCCCCAGAGCCAGCTTGATTGCTCTTCAACAATCACCATGCACTTTCCAAGACAGTTAAATATGCCTCGGAGGATTCCCCCACCTCATTGAGTGGACAATCTGACAATGGACATCGTCGTGGCTGGCCACAGCAACTGTTGGCATGAGGCGCAGCACAACGCAAACTGCCCGGGGAAGGCCGGCGGCCGCGTGGGGTCAGCACCACACTCTGCAGGTTCAACCTTTCAGCCTCCAGCTGCAAATGGGCCATGAGCTTCGTCGCCGCCGCAAGACGCACGACGATTGACACCTTACCCCTGCGTATTCCCGTCTATGTGACTATACCGAAGCCCCGGCAGCAACGACTTCAGATCTACTCTAACCATCAGCCCATGAAATGGATTCGCCCTGTCGATTTTGCTCAATTTTGACCGAAACCCCGCCCTGGGCTGAACCGCGATCTGTCGGCCTGACGGATCTCAGGAGTGGCTGGAAACGAGGTTGCAAGGGCTGCACTTTTTTGTACCATATCTTGCCTAGCCTGGTCGGACCGGAATTTCTCGAGGTGTTTACCTCGCTCACCTTCGAGCCACGGTATGCGACTGACACGGGACCATTGCGAATCGTCGTGCACCTCGATCGCCTTCCCTATTCCGGTCTGCTCGACAAGTTGAGGTTGCAGGTTTACCGGGAGCCAGGTTTGTGTGCCCACGAAGAGCAGAAAGAAATCCGGACCCTTCTTCCTAGTAGTGAGACTCATCTACAATTGAAACAACAGGCCCCTCCTCCTCGCCGTGGCCGGCTGTTGGGGTCGCCAACCACGTTGCACCCCACGGCCTTTCGCAGGCTGTCATCAACTTGGCCAAGTCTTGGATAGAGGACTGTCAGAACCGCGCGGGAAGACACGCCAACTGCAGTCCGCATCATGAGACGATTCTTCCAAGCCGGCTTGTCGATGTAGGCTCCTCCAACGCGGACGGCTGCCGACTGTATCTTCCGTCTGAAAACGAAACCGGTCTCTATATCGCTCTCAGCCATTGCTGGGGCGGCGTGACGCCTACACAGACAACGCAAGGCAACTTCGAAAGCTTCACGCAGCAAATCCCAGAGCCGCTCCCGCAGACCTTCTCGGATGCTGTGGCCGTCACGAGAGCCTTCGGCATCCGTTATCTCTGGATCGACTCGTTGTGCATCATCCAGGACTCGCCTGAGGACTGGGCGCTGCACGCGCCGCTCATGGCAAAGGTATATGGCGACGCATGGGTGACCATCTCGGCCGATGCAGCCGCCGACAGCTTTGAGGGCTTTCTTCAGCACGCGGACCGGGGCCGTTTCCGAGCCGTTCGCATTCCATACGGCATTGGGGGAACAGGCAACTGTGATGCACGTCAATGGAATTGTTTCTGGAACCGGTGCCGTGCCTGGTGGAGGAAAAGGCAGTGGTTGTCTGGAAGATCTGGTCGGGCAGCCCGACCAACATACGGCGAGGGACGCAACGACCCCGCGATTTGGGTACGCGAACGCGGCGCGTTAGGGTATCAACTTCCCTTCCACGGGTGGTGCCCGGAATTTCCGGATAGCCTGGCTAGGGAGGCGACGCAATACAGCGCCGAGGTGCGAAGTCGCCGCGGCAGTGCTGCATGCAGCGAGCTTGCCAAACTGCTAGTCACGTTTTGCCGCTCCAGGAACTCGGTACCGGACAGCCGGCTTTCGACCCGCGGCTGGGTGTTCCAGGAGCGGGCCCTGGCACCACGAACGCTGCATTTTGGTTCGGCCGAGGTGGGTTGGGAGTGCCGCTCGCTTATCAACTGCGAGTGCTCGGCGTCGAGTCTTCGCTACCGCCGCACGACGAGCCTGCTCAAGCGGACGGTGGACGATATGCCGTGGCATGCCGTGATCAGCGAGTATACTAGGCTTGACCTCACGGTTTGGGAGGACCGTCTCGTGGCATTGGCAGGTTTGGCCGAGGCTAGACAGCACAAGGAGGATGTCGACAACCAGTACGCAGCCGGCATGTGGACGCGGGACTTGAGGACCCAACTGCTCTGGAGGACTTGGCTCCGAAGACCTGCCCTGCAGTCTTACGTCGCTCCGTCGTGGTCATGGGCATCCATCTCGGGATCGGTAAACTGTCCGGATCCGAGTCATCGCCCGTTGCTGGGAGATTGGACTGTGGCTCGTGTCCACTGCCCGCCCGCAGACACATCCGCGTTTGGAAACTGCCAGCCGGGGTCATACCTTGAACTAGACGGGCCTGTATCGTCGGTTCGCCTATTGCCTTACGACGAGGGATGGGAAGTCCGGCCCGTCTCCTTCACGAATCCCTCTGATTCGATTCCCTGGAGGCTTCCCGGTCAAATGATTAGGGTTTGCTGGGATTGTGATGCGCGGAAACGCAAGGCCTTGACCGAGCGGCACACGGGATCATTCATCTTTTTCCTTATAAGTGCGGAGGATGAAAAGGTGGAGGGTTTCTTTCTCATGGAGATGTCCCCTCCGCATGGTCCGCCAAAGGAGACCGAAACTCGGCCGGCGAGCGAGCAGGTGACGGATGTCAAGAATTATGAGCGGATTGCCTATCTTCAAGAAGCGCCCCTGGCACGCAGGCGGACCTGGTCAGATGAGAGTAGCGATTCCGGGGTGGACGATGACTCAGATTACCCCAAGAGCTGGGCGTGCTGGCAGGAGTTTGCCCGGATTGAAAGAGTCCGAGTGTATTAGCTGATCATACAGTCCAGCCCAGGTCTGTTCGTTAGCGTGCAAATGACATGCACCAGATATGAAATAGAAGAATGGCAATCAAGGAAATGAAAATAAGGAAGACAAAACGACAAGTCTAGTAGATGGAGATAAGAAGTAAGAGTCGATGGAAGAGGAAGACAAAGATGAAGAGGAAGAGGAAAAGAAAGCAAGGATTTAAGAACACCAAAGTGGAGAGAGAAGTGTAGATACCTAAGTTTCGCACTGCCAAACAAACCAGGGTTTAACTGTATATGGCTCTGGACGATAGACGGGACCATAGGTTACCGGGCCAGCATTTTAGATACACAGGTTTTACTTAACGTTAGGTAGAAATGAATGGGAAATTACCTCCTGGTTCACAATAGCCCTCTGTACCTTGATATTCGTTAGTTACTCCATTCTGAAAGAAATGCAGCAGCCGGTCATCGGTGTCTGAAAGCCACCTCCACGGTTCCACCGCGGTGTATCCGGAGCACGTCGAGAAGATGACTGAGCCAAAAGCCCCGAGGACTAATAACGGCAATTTTCCGGACCTGGATGCCGTCATCAGGTAGCTTGTTTGAGGCCCTGCTTTCTTGGACTTGCACTCAAAGCACAGGTTCTTTCTAAATGTCGTAGACAACCCAACAGCCTATCAATTTACTCGACGAATACCTGATCAAAACTATCAGGTTGAAACGGAGGGTCCATAATTAGGTCACCCAGGTCAAATATTGTGGCGACCCCTATTCTTCGCCAAGCTGGACCCAAACCCGGGTCCCGAGCCAAAATCAGCCCAGTCGGATACACCTCATCCGTCACATGCAGGTACACCAGTTGAGTGTGAGCCGACATAGTCTCATCCGGATCGTCCAAAGCACCATGCGCAACACATTGGCTTTCGTCGCCGTTGCCTCCCGAGACAAGCAGATCCCAAGGGTACTCCTTGCGCATTTCGGCCAGCCACGCGTCCCCGGCGGTGTCGACTGGACGGATCTCCGATATACCCCTGTTATATCCGTACAGAGAGAGAGTGCGGGGCTCCAAGACGTCTGCGACGCGGAATCTCTGCTTGGTCAGGGAAGGCGGGAGAGTCGCGTCCGTTGTGCCACGCACAAAGCCAATCTTCGCCTTGCAATGGATCCATGACCAGGTCGGAGCTTGTCTTGTCCGTGTCATGCGTCTGATACCATCAGAGTCGTTGTTAGCATACCACAAAAGTTGGGCGGCAAGATCGTCTCTCCACATGCCGGCGGACTCGAGGTACTCGTCGTTGATAGCCGCTGCCATCAACTCTGCGACAGCTCGAACAGGGAGGAATTTATCAGCTGCTTGCCGGCGGAGCTGCCTTGAGGTGTACTGGGCAAGAAAGGCCTTCCACTGCTGGTATAGAAAAGGGCGGTATTGCTCCGCGTCGGCGGCTTGCTCTTCCACTCTGGGCCAGAAGCTGATGCTGGGCCCGGGAGTAGCCGACTCGGCGTCGTTCTCTTCGGAGCGCAGAGCCCTCCTGCATTCGAAGTAGATCTTGTTCTTGGCGAAATGGATCACCCTTGCCGAGAGCATTCGCTCGACCAATGTCCAGCCATCTCGGTTCCACGGCGAGCCGTCGACGTCCGATGTGCGCATCCCGCTGGTTTCGTGCTCCTGGGGTGTGAAGATCACATGCCGCTTGTCATCACCGATCTTGGCGGCTGATATGGCGGAGATGTTGCGGGCCAGGAAGCTAGACTGAGGGGACGTAGCAGATGTTCTTGTTCCCGTTGCGTCAGTTCAGCTGTGTGGAGACGAATGTAGCAGAGAGAACATACGCGGCGATTGTGACTTCGGAATGTCCGAAGGTCTTGTGCATCATCACCACCTCGCGCTTCCAATCCTCGGTATCGTCCAAGATGCACAATGCATCAATCCACAGGTACCGAATACCCAAGGCCTGGCAGACAGCAATTGCATCGCGGAATGCTCTGGGGAGATCGGCCAAATCGATGCCTTCCTTTCGATCATCCAGGTTCTCTGATGAAGTTTGAACGGCCGTGTCAGGCCAATCGTTGCCGCGAGTGTAACTCAGCGCAGCATACCGGTGGTCATCCTCAGCAGCAATACTTGCCGTTTCCATGAGACGCAGCGGGTCAAGAGCAAGCAGACGAGTGGGCGTCCAACGGGCGTCTCCTTGACAAGCGTTCCCGTGGTTGGCTGCACAGCCATTGATCCACCCCTTGATCAGATCAACGTTCCTCTCGCTCAAGGTACTGTCGCTTGGAAGATTCCTTCTTGATGCAGAAACCGGCGACTCAATGTCTGTGGTCCGTTAGAAAGCGCAAGGCATGAAACAGATACTCCGAGGCACGAACCGATAGAATCGAACAACTTGAACCGCAGCTCAGTCCCCAACTCGCCAACGAGCTCCTCGCCCTCCTCCCCCAGCGGCACCGACGCGGGCCCAAACTCAACCGTCAAGCCTACCACAACCCCATCCCCCTGCTCCAGCGACCCAGCAACCTCATCCCACGCAAACTTCTGCTGCCCCTGAAACGACCCGCCAAACGGCGCAAACCGGAACCTAGCGCTGTGCACCTTCACCCTGCCGTCCCACGGCGCGGTAAACAGCGTCTCGTGGCTATCATCATCCTCCACGACCGGCGCCACGCCGCTCTCTAGCATCGGATGCGTCCCGGTGTTGCCCCATGCGCTGCGGATGGCGGTGCGCAAGAAACGGCACAAGTCGCAACCAGCCTGCAGGATAGGGAAATCAGGGAAAGTGTCGGTGATGTGGAATTCTTCGATTGGGATCGTCTTGCCATGAATGCTGCTGCGGTCTTGTAGGAGGAGATGGCGACAGGTTGGGCATGGCGGTGTGGCGGGCGTTGAGGAGATTGTGGAGAGGTTCGGTGTGGGGGGGATGGGCTGCACCAGCTGGCGGTAGGTCCATCTTTGGGTTTCTGGGGCGGCCATGGCTAGGGTACCTTCCGTTTGATCTCTCCCTGTGTCTGAAAGCGACCTTGGGAAGAAGTCGTTATGTGGGTTAAGCTCAGTGTGACTGCTTTTGTTCATAGTTTGTCACCACTTGGAGCGGGGAAATGTCACAGTACTTAGCCCCTGGCTATTTACGTTAGTCCGCTATCCATAGTATTTGGGAACTAATCTCTCCAATTCGACAATAATAGGACGCTATTGAAACCGCTAGCTCAACTTGGGGTGCCGGCTACCATACCTTTAGCCCGCATCAATTGTGAATCCATCCTCCCATGGAGTACGCAATTCCTCTTTGTTTTTGTTGCGGTGCATTGTTTTAATCGGACTCGTAGTCACGTCTTCGACCCCACGTTCCAGTAGTGCCAAGACCGATGTAACCCCCACATCCGGCGACGACCTCCCATGACATCACCACTTCCCCAAGTTCGTACATTCTGCACTTCGTGAGCCAAAGACGGGCTTTAACTTCCTCCCTGAGATATATGACCGGAGCACTGACGTCATGACTTACTGGACCACCGCGAAATGCACATCGTCCGGTTTCTCACTGGCTACTATAATTGCCCTCAACTTCCTTAGAAGCCGAGATTTTTCGGCATCGCAGGCTCAATACTCCATCTTGGCACCCCTATCCACACAATGTCAGGCCTCGTACCGGAAACAATGCAGAAGGTGGCACACGCGGCCCTAGGCCCGCGTCAGGGCGACAAGCTCAAGGACCTTGCCCACAACACGAAGGATATGACACCAGAGGGCCGGCTGACGACCGACTATGGCGTTAAGCAGAGCACGGCTGATGACTGGCTCAAGGTGGCCAGCAAGGATAAGACAGGGCCTATGCTGCTGGAGGATCCTTTTGCTCGTGAGCGGGTGCGTATGAGAACATGAGAAGCTTGCCGAGCTTGATAGCTGTCAGATGCTGACAGCCACAGATTATGAGGTTCGACCATGAGAGGATCCCCGAGCGAGTAGTGCATGCGCGCGGCACCGGAGCCTTTGGCAAGTTCAAGCTTCTCGAAAGCATCGAAGATCTCACCATTGCGCCTGTCCTGACCGACACGTCCCGCGAGACGCCCGTCTTTGTCCGCTTCTCGACCGTCCTTGGCAGCCGAGGGAGCGCCGACACGGTCCGCGATGTGCGTGGCTTTGCTACCAAGTTTTACACGCAGGAGGGCAACTGGGACCTTGTGGGCAACGACATTCCCGTCTTCTTCATTCAGGACGCCATTAAGTTCCCTGATGTCATCCATGCCGGCAAGCCCGAGCCTCACAACGAGGTGCCACAGGCTCAGTCCGCGCACAACAACTTCTGGGACTTCCAGTTTAACCATACCGAAGCAACGCACATGTTTATGTGGAGTGTGAGTGTTTGAGGTCTGTCCCATAGCTCTCCTTGGGTGCTGACGCCTGACGGCAACAGATGAGTGACCGGGCCATCCCTCGCTCGTACCGCATGATGCAGGGCTTCGGCGTCAACACTTTCACTCTGATCAACGCCAAGGGCGAACGCCACTTCGTCAAGTTCACATGGACTCCAGAGCTCGGCGTCCACTCGCTGGTGTGGGATGAGGCCTTGAAGCTGGCAGGACAGGACCCTGACTTCCACCGAAAGGATCTCTGGGAAGCCATCGCCAACGGCGCGTTTCCCAAGTGGAAGTTTGGCATCCAAGTCATCCCCGAGGCCGACGAGCACAAGTTCGATTTTGACATTCTCGATGCCACCAAGGTCTGGCCCGAGGACCTGATCCCGACCCGCTATATTGGCGAGATGGAGCTGAACCGCAACGTGGATGAATTCTTCACTCAGACTGAGCAGATTGCCTTCTGCACCAGCCACGTGGTCCCCGGCATCGGCTTCTCCGACGACCCACTGCTGCAGGGCCGCAACTTCAGCTACTTCGACACTCAGATATCCCGCTTGGGTGTCAACTTTCAAGAGCTCCCTATTAATCGGCCGGTGTGCCCCGTCATGAACTTCAACCGCGACGGTGCCATGCGCCACACCATCACCCGAGGCACAGTCAACTACTGGCCAAACCGGTTCGAAGCGTGCCCACCAGCCAGTCACCAAGAGGGCGCCTATGTTGAGTACGCACAAAAGGTGGTGGGCATGAAAGCGCGTATGCGCAGCGAAAAGTTCAAAGACCACTTCAGTCAGGCCCAGCTCTTCTGGAACAGCATGTCGCCCATCGAGAAGCAGCACATTATTAGGGCCTTCAGCTTCGAGCTGGACCACTGCGAAGACCCGGTCGTCTACTCGCGCATGGTTCAGCGCCTCGCCGACATCGACCTCAACCTGGCTCAGACCGTGGCCGCAGCAGTGGGCGGTGAAGCCCCCAAGGAAGGCCGTCCCAACCACGGACGGCGAGCACCCGCTCTCAGCCAGCTCGAATTCCCGGGTAAGCCTACCATCCAAGCGCGCCGCGTTGCGATCCTCATCGCGGACGGCTACGACCAAGTCGCATATGACGCGGCCTACGCCGCCCTCTCTTCGGCCATGGCCACTCCGCTGGTCGTCGGTCCCAAGCGCAGCAGAATCACGGCCGCCAACGGCACCAGCTCGACGCAGCCGCACCACCACCTCGAGGGTCTCCGTTCGACCATGGTCGACGCGCTCTTCATCCCCGGCGGTGCCCAGTCCATCGACACCCTCTCCCGGAACGGGCGTGCGCTGCACTGGGTTCGCGAGGCGTTTGGCCACCTCAAGGTCATCGGCGCGACTGGCGAGGCTGTGGGCTTCGTCGAGAAGGCGATTGGCTTGCCGAGTGTGGTTGTTTCGAGCGATGGAGAGGCCAAGGAGAGTTACGGTGTCATTACCATCAAGGAGCTGCGGCCCGAGAGTTTGAAAGAGGCGGTGCAGATTGCAAAGGGCGCGACTGGGTTTATGGAGAAGTTCTTTTATGGCATCTCGCAGCACCGCTGCTGGGAACGTGAGCTGGCGGGGCTGAATGACATGGTCGCTTACTGAGGACGGAGGTATTTTGTCTCGGTGGAAGGTGTGAGGGTGAATCTGTAGGCATATGGGGCGTCATTAAGGATATGGTGTCGATGCTTGCGGTCAAGTTGGTGTTGAACACCAACCGACTAATGGATCAGATGAGTTGGCTTTAATTCAATTACAAGTAACTAACTACAAAGGCTTCTTCCCCAAGAATTTCCTCGGATTAGGACTATGTTGGCCATTAGAACCTGACACAGGAACCTTGCAGATCATGAGCCTCGAAGACAGAGGGACCTTACGAAGATGTTGGCTCGGTTAACACTAAACGCTGTGGCTGATGAATGACTGTGGGCCGCTTTGGCTTGCTCTCAGCACCATCACCCCGTTTTAGCTTCAAGGCCATGTGAGAGTGACATGGCATAGTTGCCTTTATGGCAGGGGAAGGATGGAACGCCCGAAGCATTGGTTAGCATGGCAGGTGCAAACCCCTGGTTGTAACTACCTTACTTGTCACACGGATGCGAACCCCCCAAGACGTGCGAGCAGTCATCTTGAACTTCTGATCATGCCAGCCATTCAGTATTGGTCAAGTAGCTGGGTATAAACAAGGTCCCCTTGCCTGCCTCTATATCTTCCCCACCCATTTCTAAGATCGACTTACATACTCCTTTAACGATCAGCCTGCACCTACAATACAAAGAAGGGGAGAAAATCACGGCCATATAGACGACCGAGACGATGACGAAGATTGATACAACCACGGCGAAGATCGGCTCCAACCCTGCCAGGCAGGGCTTGGCTCGCTGGGCTTACGAAAACAATGCCGCTGATAATTCTCGATTACACGGCATCGCAAAAGTACATGACGAAATCATGGGGCTCGGGTTCAGCTCAGACGGGAGACAAACAACATGCGGTTGACTACCTCAGAGCCCGGCTCCGTCAAACCTTCACTCAGCTCCCCTACCTTGACGGCTAGATCATACGCGCCAAACACGGCGAGCTGCCCAAGCTGATCTACCCAGGCGACGCCAATCCTTCAAACCTGGATGCGTACCCTAACGAGATATTCGACTACTTGAGGCTTGGCACACAACTGGTCCCTGTGATGTTTGAGGAGCTCTTGGATGCCGGAGTTCCCGCTGCGTCCATGACCAAGCATCTCCTCTGGCTGCTTCCCCCGACAGATCCGGAGCCAGGTTACAATTGTCACCCACTCACGCTACGAGTCTCCTTTGTTTAGGGCGGTCTCATTCTGGGGTTTGCATTTCGCCACGGCCTCATGGACGGCACCACAACCACCGAGTTCCTCGACTACGTCACCGGCGACATGTTTGCGGTCTCCAGCCCACTCAACGTCTTCTCCTCCCTCCACCTGCGCAAGGAGAACTCCACGCTTTGCTGCCAATATAGCCACAACCAACCTTATCGACCCTCACACCACCGCTGGTTACGATTTAACTCGCCTGCAGTCCCTCCCCTCCTGCCAACCGCTATCGCCAAAATCTTCACCATCTCCGCCGATAGTGTGAGAGTCCTCCACACAGCAACGCTCTCGCACCTCCGCCAAACGTACGACCCGTCCGCCTCTGTAACCATCAGGGACGCCCTCTGCGCCCTTATCTGGGTACAAATCACCCGCGTCCGGCTGCGAGCCAGGTGAGTCCATGTGCATGACATCACACGCTTCTTGACAGCCGTCAACATCCGCAGCCGCCTCCCAGGGGAAGGGTTTGGCGGTTCGTCGGGGTACATTGGAAATATATGGCTGCGCGCGCTGGCTGAGACGACGGTTTGGGATTTGGTCAGGGGCGGTGATGGGCAAGATGATAATGGTGATGCGACGGCGACGACACTTGCCGCACCGGTAAGTATGGCGCATATTGCGCATGCGGCGGGGCTGAGTCGCGGTGCGGTGAATCATCTCACTCAGAGGCGAGTCATGGAGGGTCATATTGCTGTTGCTGTGCTTGCTGCGCAAGCCGCTGCCGCTACTGTGGGTAGAATGAGGCCGGGGGGGACAATGGCTGAAATGGGGACATCATCCCGCTTGATGCGGAGGCTGCGGTGCGGCGGATGATTTCACAAGGTATGACACCAGGGTGGATGCCGCGATTAGGGTGGCGCTCGGTGCGGACGTTGAGTTTGATACACCCGGAGTGATCAGGGGCAATGGAAAGGCGGCATGGGTAAGGAGGGCGTATGAGCCGATTGAAGGGGCTGTGGCTTCCGCTGCCGCCTGTTAGGGGCACTAAGGGCGACGTTAAGTGGGAGGCGTGGCTGGCTATGAGGGAGGAGGATGTAGTTGTTTTGGAGAGTGAGGACGAGATGGGTGGGTGGTTGTGTCGGCCGCCTGCGTAAAGGGGTAACAGGGGAGTGAGAGGGGAGTGAGAGGGGAGGGCGCTGAGACAATGCGATTGGGATTCATCTAATTCCGTGGATAGGACGTAAGTTACGCCAGCCTTCGTTAGATAAATAAAGGACTTGTATTTCATAGCGTTGTGCGGGAATATTGTGGTTTCGCAACGCTGACTGGCTCGCAGGGGCTCCCACTAGAGAGACGGGTCCGTCTCGCTTAGTCATCGCAAAAGTGTATTAGTCATCACAAAATGCATCTAACGCGGCCGCCTCCCCCGCGCCCGCAGCACACCGCCATCGCCATTGCCAAAGCCAATACCAGCTATCTTGATTACGATGTATC